AGATAGATAGATAGATAGATAGATAGATAGATAGATAGATAGATAGAATAACTTTATTGTCACTTTGTACACTAATCGACATACATTGAAATGACATTTCGTTGCATACAACTCTCAAAGGGTCACAACCTCCAATATAAACTACCCACACATGACTAAATAAATAAACACATATATGTGCATGTACCCACATATATGACACAGAGAAACAACACAGTCTAGTTTGGATGTATACATGTACATAGCTTAAGAGATAGTAGCGGGGACAAACAACAAACTTTCTTCCTCCTGTTGTTGTCCCCAATTCAATTGGTTAGAAGCTATTGATGGCAACTAAAAAATACAGAAGACATCACTGCTGTCAATGGTATCTATTTCCATTAAATTTTGGTTTGTTTATGTTATAGCCCAACAACTTTTGTTTGTTTATATTATAGCCCAAACTTGGTAATTCTTCATTAAACAAGTATGTATAGTTTGATATACCTTTGAAAGAGAACTAGTGTGATGTTATATGCTGGACTAGAAACAGGATATGGAAGCTGGTTAGATGATTTGGGACCAACTGTACACGCTCCACTCTAGCCTGAGAAGTACAAAATCATACATCTATCAACCTGCACTAGATTGACATGATAGTGTGTAGTCCATAACTATCATTGAAGATGCTTTCATCCTGCAGTGGATTGATTTGTAACAATAGTAATAGTAATATCACCATCACCCTTTGAAAACTTTCGTGAGGCCCGAAGAGGTGGAAAACTGCAGCTTTCCCTTTTCCTATCTCAATAGAATTGACATATATTGTTTGATGTAATCTGTCTTGTGCAGTTGTATAATTTAAATAGCATATGAGTTGTATTCAATAGATACTTCAATCCAGAAAATATGGATTCAATAGAATTGTCCATTTTTTCTATTGTTAGATCTAGTCCATACTATAGAGGAGAGAAAGATTAAGAAATGCCCAGTCAAAGATTTACTCTGATAGATCCACAGATTCCAAGTGACCTGAAAAAAATGCAATTAAAAATAAACACTATAAAACTATTATCAAATCACCTGCTATCTTTTTGAAAGTTTGTACTGTTATTCAAATGTGAGGGAGAAAATTCTTAAGAGATTTGAGTAAAATCTATCCATTGTGACATTCATGAGAATTAGATTTTCACACTTTCTCTTGCCATATGTTACACTGAGTAAAGAACCTCAAGAGCACTGAAACCAGCTGTCATATCCCAGAATATCTTCTGGCATTGATTTCAACAGTAACTTGGATCAGGCAATTAAGAGTCAATTCTTAATAACTTAAAAACCTGATAGGATAGATTAGGAATGAATGAGGCTTGAACAACTGAACTATTGTTCCAAGTTATCAATTCTTTGCCCATATTCTCAGGATTGTCTTATGTCTTATGCAGAGGTGGTATTCAGCAGGTTCTGACCAGTTCTAGAGAACCGGTAGTGGAAATTTTGAGTAATTCGGAGAATCGGCAAATACCATCTCTGACTGAAGATTTTACAGTATCCTTCCCCTGCCAAGCTACACCCACAGAACTGGTAGTAAAAATATTTGAATTGCACCACTGGTCTTATGCCAAGGGTCTTCAAACTTGGCAAATTTAAGACTTGTGGAGTTCAACTCCCAGAATTCCTGAGATAACATGACTGGAGGAGGAATTCTGGGAGTTGAAGTCCACAAGTCTTAAAGCTGTCAAGTTTGAAGACCCCTGTCTTATGCAGATGCTATTGAACCATAATTTATAAATGTGTGTTTCCTTTATAAACTTCCTTGAACATTGATGTTTGACACTATTTGTTTTTGATACCAGAACAAGACTTGATACAAAACAAAAACGTACATTCTGGGAGAATGGTATAAATAGAACCTATCTCTATATTGTATTTCTTCTCTCTCCCCCCCCCCTTTAAATCCTGTTCTAAAATTAAGCAGATCTCTGTTTCTATGTCACAGAAAGTTCTTATCCAAATTCAACTTCATTCAGCAGGATATTGCAAATTTTAACTTGTGTTCTTATAACAAATGTGTTTTACTTTCTTTTTTAATTAATCTTTCCCAGGTTTGTGTTTGCATTGTTTCATGGAAGTAACAGATGTTAGAAAGAAATAGAAATACATGTATTTCTATTTGTTGTAATTGCTATAAACTGGGATAGAACTTCTGTATTTTTCATAACTGGGGTGAAGGAAGAATCCGTGCAATTGCAACAATCCCCATTCTTGCAGAATTCCTCCCCTGAAAGACAAGAGGAACCCTATTTTATCTGAACAATTTCAAATATGCCATCTGTGTAAAAACAAATAGATATTTACAGTTCCACAGAGATGGAAAATATTTATCAACCGGAAAGTACTATGAATCATTAGTGTTTATCATCATTTCACTTTACTGCATTCCATTAAAATCCCACTTCTGATTTAAACCAAGATTATAACTTTCAAGAAAACAAATTCATATATATCAGAGTACAATATTTAAATCCTAGCTAATAGTTCTAGTACATTTAAATTTACTCATCCTTTGCAGAAATGTTCTTTTTTAAATTTATTTTTAAGCACTTTAGATCTAAATAATAAATGCTGTGCCAGCAAGGTAAAAGAGCATATAAGATTTGGAGTGTTTTTCCTAACACTAAATATAAAGTTATCTTTTCTACATAGAGGACAACGTTTTGTTTAATCCCATTTTTTTCAAAACCAATATGTATTATTCTGATCATGTGGCTTTTAAGATCCCATATAGCATATAATACAAAGCAATTATATCAAATATTAAATAAACATTAAAGTGAAAAGAAATGAAGTATTATCCACTGCTAATACCCAGACTGTTAAAGAATAATTTTGACAAGATTATTAATTCCATTATTATTCTGGCATGATCTACCAAAATTGAAAGTTTAGATGGGTAAACATTTTATTTTTGATAAAATAATCTTGTAATTTGTCAGAATTGCTTTATCAATAAAGTAATTGTGAATGAACTGGATTAAGAATTTTCTTACATTGGCAGGAATTTCTTCAAATTATTCTTACTCGTAAAATGGGAAGAGGGAGTTTGGGATCTGGATGGCTGATTTGCAAATTCTCACCACTTCCCAGAAACACACAGATCATCCACCCATCCCTCCCTCCATCCATCTATCTATTTATCTATCTATCTATGTAGTGTGCTGCCGAATTCTCAATAACCCGGGTGGAGACTCACAGTTAACAAATTACAATAAAATTAATAAAAGGTGACAAGTGCAACAGATCAGAGAGATTGAAATGAGAAATCTCCCTTGCACCTGGTTGAAGAGCCCGCTCTCTTCATGGCTTTTCTAAATCATATCTTTGGAAGAACCTCATTCCAGAAGGCACACACTGCTACATAGCAGGCCTGCTTTCAGGTGGTCCACCATTGTTTAATCGAAGGAACTCACAAAGATTTCAGTGGAACAGACAATCAGAATTGCTTCTTGTCCATTTTGTCAGTGGAAAAGGTTTTCTGGACCATGGATGAAAAAAGCCCTGGCAGCAGGTAGCTTTGTTGGATGAGATCTATTGTCTTCTCTTGACTGTACTTTTATTTACTTTCCTATCTCAACTATGTTATGTAAAATTGCAGTTTAAAATACTAATTCCAGCTATGGACTCTATATCATTTGTCGTAAGGTGCCACAAAACTCTTTGTTACTATTTCTTAAAGTTAATTTGGATTTGTGATTTTTGCTAAAAAAAACAAAAACAAAGGAGAGAGATGCATAACACAGGAAATATTTTTCCATTTCAAGCTTAGAAAACAGCTTTTCTGAAATGTTTTCTTTTGCTGTCTGAGTTGACAGCGTCCTAACAAAATTCAAACAAAACTGGCTTAACTGTTCTATGCTATGAAACAAAACTTGGATGCTGTCCAGTGTTCTAGCATAGAAAACAGGTGGGGGGAATCTTGTGCTCCCTAAATTATTTGCACACAATTGCTACCCTCCTACCCAGTCTGCGGGAAAATTGTCCGAGATCACTTCAAAGAGAAAACAATGGAACCATTTTTTTTCCATATAGAAATTGTGTAATGTTTTCAACATTATTTAAATTATTGCTTGGCCAATCTTTCTTCAGCTGTTGACTGATAGCGATCAGAATGGGCTGCTATCCCACTTACTTAACAATGTCAAGTAGAAATCTAGGCATATATTTTTCTAACACAACATGCTCAGAACAGCTATTTGAACACAAAATGGAATGTTAGTCCTCAAAATAAAGCTAAAAAGCAACAGAGCATCCAAGTACTGAAAGCAAATCCTCTTTTGAACAGATAATATAATAGGTCATGCCTCCCCTTCTTTATATATTGTAAATCTCATGAGCATTTATGGTGATTGAAGAGACCCCGCGTTATGGATGAATCCTATCAATGTCTTTGGTGGGAGGGGACCCAAATTCAAGATCCAGTTGTGTCTGTTTTGGTGTTGTGTGTGTTCTGCCAAAGGATGATCAAGTCTGTCAACACTGATAGAGCATGGGGTAAGATATATTTGGTGGCCACCTCCCTCCTTAAACAATCAATCCAGTGAATGGAGGAAGAATGCCCTTCAGTGCCATAGCAAGTGTGCTACTTTCTGCTGTGCGCTTACAGTTATCTAAGTGGGAATTAAGAAATACAAAATCAGAAAATGACATTCAGATTTTTCAAACTGGCTTCACTTCAGAATTCTGGGCTGTTCAAGTTTCTTACAGTTGTAGAACATGCAAAAAAAAATTAATGATTGACATTTGATACACATGGCTGAAATTCTAAAAAAAAAAAAAAAAAAAAGACATCCCAAAAGATTGAATGAAGCACTAGACCCTTGACTCCTCCAGAATTCTTATTTACTTGCCAGAATTGGATGGGAAAAGCTATTTAGATATAATTTTGTCAGCCAGGTTCCAAGAGCCCTTCCAAATGGGAAAGCTGATATAGCAGAAGTTGTGTTTCATAGTGCTGCTTCCATTAATGTGTTTTTCCAAAATTACTTAAAGACACTTTTCCTTTTATTTTGCCCAGTATGGTATTGCTTGCACCTAGTGACTTTCTGTTGGAAAGTATTTTTGAGTTATCGGTGGCCATTTCTATGTTGCTCTTAATTGCTCTGCTCTTCTTCTCTTTAATCTCTCTGCTGATCAAAACTCTGTTCTTTTTTCTCCATGCTGCTCAAAAGGAGACAAACAGTTCAGAAGAGTCAGAATGTGATGACCTTGACCCCAACACTAGCATGGAGGTAGACCATGATCCTTTCTATCCTCCCTCTCTCGAACCCAGTACTAAGTTCCCCAGAGAATTGTATGCCTGTTTTGAAATAGTATCTATAAAATTTGGTGTCTAAACTAGAGGGTGACTGTAATATACTGTAGATTCAGAGTGGAGTGCCTGTCCCAGACAGAAGATCTTAGACAGCAAACTATCTCTCATTTAATTTTAACAATATCCTACATCAATGTGAGAATTACATATAAGTTACCAAATTGTCTTGAGTTCATTCTGGAAAGATTCATTCTGTAAATGAATCCGGAACTTCCACTGTAAGCTAACACGTCAATATGTACAATTAATGCCTCAACTGTTACGAATACAACCGGTTTTCACTTTCTTGGTTCCACTGATCCAACTTTGAATGAGACAGTATGATATGCTAAATAATATGTAATGGGAGACATCTATTAATTAGAATTTTGATCCGACTGCAATAAATAAAGAACCATGATACTTCAGTATTTAAAACAAGGTCAATAGCAATCAGAAGTGCTTGATGTTCTAGTGAAATGCAACTGCTGATAAATGAGTACTAAGGACAAAAGTGCTATAAGAAGACATATATCAAGTAGTTAAAGCTTTCTTGGGAATCCCTGAGTTCTGGTACAAGATATTGAATGTGAAGTTACTTAATCGCTTAGAAGACTCTGCATTGCAAAAGATCCTTTCCACTGAAAATAGTTGAATAATAAGTAAACAATAACATTACAATATGTAAGCACATAGATTAAAACCCAGAAGTGAGGAAAAATGGAAAAGATCAGGAGTCTCCAATCTTGGCAACTTTAAGACTTGTGGACTTCAGCTCCCAGAATTACCCTGTCAGCCATGCTGGCTGAGGAATTCTGGGAGTTTAGATGTCTTAAAGTTACCAAGTTGGAGGCCCCTGTTCTAGACAACAACACATCATTAAGCAAGTCTTTTTAGAAATGAAGCATCTGTCTGAGCTTAGAGATGAAGCGCTTGTTATTGGGGGAAAAATACTACAGAAAACCACTTTGCAATGATGTGAAAGTGCTCCTAATGTTCTCAAACCATTTGGAAAACATAAGAATATTAGACTTTTATAATTAACATGTTTGGGATGCCTGTAGAGCATACAGGTAAAGAGATCTCACTAATATTTAATGGGACTATGCAAATCCTTCCAAAGAGGTACTTCACAATGCTTGGGTATATGTACAAAAATCTATTCATACCCACAAAGTCCAGTAATGATGTAGCTAAATTCTTTTGCATTGTAGAAGACTTCTTTTTAATAGTCCTAATATTTAATATATTAGCATAGTCCTAATATTTAATAAATTAGAATGCCTAAAATCTGTATTCCTTTACCAATTCATAAATAAAAGCTAGATTTGTGGATTTCAGGTGATACATAGGCCAGCCCTGAAGTCCTACGTGCCCACTTCCTTCCTGTGTTTACTTTTGGCTAAGCAATACTAATGCTGATATCAGAGTACTTGCTGTGCCTTGCAATTATAGTTTCTTTTAAAAGCCTTTTAATAGAATATCCATTGCTACTGCTTTGTCAATTCATTCATGTAAGTTTGAAGCCAATGAACAAAGAAGAAAAAGGGAACAAAACAAGATGCAGCAGTAATGTTTGTTTGGATGAGGCAAGGGAGAGGATTTAAACTGCTGCTGTTCAAGTATTACAGCAGTAGTAAACTCTATGTGAGCACAAATAGAAAGTTTTCCACATATTTTTCTTACCTTGTCCCCATGAAAATAGAACAAATCCCTCACTACCAATTTGTTTTTTGGCAAAGTGTCCATTATATATTTGTGTTGTCCAACTTGCCTCAAAACACTGTTGATTATGGTGCTACTTTGATGTACATAAAGCTGCCCTAATTCTTCCATGAAACTCACTCCATTATGTTCCTCTATATCTAATCATTAAATTAGTAATGCTGTAGTGTTCCCCAGCTAATTGTTTATGTCTTCTAGTGAGTATACATAAAACAGAAACTATGTTTTGCTTTAAATCTGGAATATGCCCATTATGTTCTAGTAACTCAGCCCTTAAACACTGACATTTGATGACCTCAAGCATACCATCCCAGATGCCTAAGAACAGATGTTTAAAATCCATTCAGTTGCAATTCTAAAGAAATATATGAGTTTTGCAAGGTTATTTCCTAACCTGGATTGAAGTCCCAGATAATTTTCTTATCAAGAGTGACTTTTTCAACCACTGTTTGCTCCTGAAACTGCTGTTTGTAGTTAAAAAAAAAAAAGAGTGAAGAACGGTTCATCTGATGCTCAGGAGGCCCTCGGGCAAGAAAAACTCAACTAAAAACATATTGTTGATCCTCACTGAGTCTATCCAAGCAGTAGACTGACAGGGTGGAAGAGACAGAACTATTTCATCTCCAGCAAATGTGTGTGTCCCACTGTCAACAGCTTCCCCAGGTTAAAGCAAATTAATACAGCTCTTTTCCTGCTTCCTTAGTTTATTTTTTTTCTACAGTTTTCCACAATGTTTCATTACTTCATTAGTACTCCACAATGGTTTAGCTTTTTTCTTTTCTTTTTCTTTTTGCTAACTTTCCCAGATTTGGTCCTCATAAACTTTTGAGTGTTTTTTTGCAAAGAAAATGATTTATGAAATACATTCCATTTTGCAGCATTAATAAATCAGAATGAAAGGCTGCTACTTAATTGCCTCAATGTGCTAAGGTTCCTAGTGTCAATGCATTCCTTTGAAACCTGTAAGACTTGTTTCTAAGTCTGCAGATATGTGTTCCATACTGGCGTTTGCATGCTTCAGCCTGAATTGTGGGCGATATGTTATGACATAGCTTGTCAAAATCCATTAAAATGAATGGCAATATTAAAGAAAGGCAATCAATTTAAGGTGCCCAGAAACCAAAAATATTCAAGGCTTGGGGCTTGGGTTTGTTTAGAGGAATGTTATCAAGAGTAGCTACAAGATACTCAGCATCATTGGTGGATCAAAAACCATTCAATTTTATTCGGTTTGATGTGTGGGGAGAAAAATACAACAAATTTCCTGTATAGGTGGAAGAGAACACCTGGAGAAAAGAGATAGCTAACTTCAGCCTGGAGGCCATGTCCAGGCCTTACTTGTTTGGGGCTCCCCAAGGCCCAAAATTTCAACCGTGTCATAGTAAGCAAGACTTACCATGTTTTGGAACAGTTAAAACAATACTTATTACCATCTAAAGAGGTGGGGATGAGGCTACATCAGGTTATTTATAACCTAAATTGTATCATATATTTGGGGGAAATGATTGAGATTGGGAAGATGCCATCCTCATTAGGATTGCCATTTTATCTTTTCTTCACCCCATCACCAATATTTTTCATGGCAGAAATACCATAATTAGGTTCTTCCTTTGTCATCAACATTTCATTTTTAGATAAACCTTTGGAATGTGACCTTTCTAATCAAAGTGGGCAACCTATTTGTCACCAGAATTAATATTATACTGTAATTGTTTTAGCCACCGGGAGTTTAGCAATGTGATCCCAGAAGGAGCAAAGCTGAAATGTCCAGGGTTGGTTGGGTGTAGTTATTTTTTTCAAATTATGTGAGTGACTAATCACACATGTGCAGTTAAAGGACAGGTAAACTTATTCGACCGTTTGCCTTTTGAAAGCAGTTTCACAACTCTTACAAAAGTGTAAGAAGTGTAAATGGCCCGTGGTCATAATTTGCCCACCCTTTCTTAACTGTGATTATTAATAATTACCTAACAGTAACAAAGAGCACTGCCTATTAATCTTGAATCAACAAGGCCAAAAACTTCCAGCTGGAAAAGCCTTAATTGAAATAGGGGCATCATCAAATAAAATAATTTTTTATTGGACTGCTGTAACAGTTTAACCATTCTTGGCACATATATGCCCTCTGCTGCTGAAACAAGTCTAATTTCTACCCTAGGGTTTAAATGCTTTTGCTACAATATCACTAATGGTACAGTTCTGTACAAACTGGATTGTTTCCGGTGGATCTTATTATATTAGATAAAGATACTTCATCAAAGATTTAATTTAAAAAGCTAAAGCGAAATGCTGAATGTGTTAACTGTAAATTTCAAATACTCTTGTGGCCAGGACTGTTTCTATCACAGGTTTTTCTTTTTTTCAAATAAGTATGATATTTTTGATAAATGCAATTTCCTTGTGTGTCTTTAGGCTTTTTGTAGTTCTCACAGTGAGTTTATAAATACCAAGTAGAGGAACACACTACATGAGAATAGTTCATACTTTAAAACTATCATTTTCTTGAAAGCAATTCCAGATCAGTATGAAGACTTATTGGAAGGAAATTATTTAGAGTTTAATGGATTTTGCCCAAAGGTTCTCAGGTACAAAATAAGTAAAAGTCCTAATCTAGTGGGTAAGATTGAATTTCGAACAAACAGGTAAAAGAATTTTTACCATCGGGTTTGTCCTGATAGTAAGTGCAAAGTACAAATACAAAAAAAAATCTTCACTTTCTTTGCAAATCATCCTGTCTCTGATGGTGCTACAGAATGACAAAAAAAAAGAATGGATTGCCATGAAGTAATCAGATATGGAGAGATTTTGAAACAACCAGTTTATTCAAAACCACTGCAGTACCTGAGATTTCTGAACTAAAGATGAGCAAGCTCTACTTATTTTATCTAAAGCACTTGAGTACAATTAGAGTCCTGGACTGTTTTGCTTAATCTGCTATTTGAACAAGGTGATTTTTAGGTGTGTGAGGATTAAATGTAGTGCTAAATATGATCAGATAATAACTAGAGCTTTGCAGCACTTCAGAACTAATTCCAGAGAGGTTCTTTAGCATGATCTCAGCAAAAATCACAGCTGGTTTAAAGAGCTTTTGTTGCACTCCTGCTTACTTTAAACTACCTGTTTGGAATGGAATCCAAAGTGCTGTAGAACTCTAATATGCCTATGGAGATTCTCAGTCATCCAGGTCATGGTTGTCTTAAAGGTGCTTTTTTAAGAGGCAACTGGACTTTCTGGTTTCTCTTTGAAGATGTTTCACTTCTCATCCAAGAAGCTTCTTCAGCTCTGACTGGATGAATGGAAGGATTTATATTTCTTGCTGGCAGCTGGCCATTTGCATTCTTTTAAAGAGTTGTTGAGGCCACTTGGAGGTCAACAGCCTGCACCTGTGTTCAACAGTGAAGGGACCCAGGGCAGAAAATATCCTGCAGAAAGCACAGCTCCACAACAGAGTCCTTTCAGCAGTTCCAAGAAGGCTCCTCACCCATTTGCACTATTCAGGTGACCCTGAGACATAGTCAAACCTCCAAGGGGCCTCAATGACTCTCTAAAAAGATTGGGGATGACCAGCTATCTGCAAGGAGTATAAATCCATTCCCCACCATCCAGTCAGAGCTGAAGAAGCTTCTTGGATGAGAAACAAAACATCTTCAAAGAAAAACAAAGTACAGTTGCCTCTTGAAAAAGCACCTTTAGAACTCCCAATAGCTACAGAAATTATCTGATTCCCAGACACTCATGAAGACAATCTGCTGATCATGGGAAGTGAATGGGAGGAAAGACCAAATATTATGGGCAGTAAATCTATGGTTCATTTACAAACAAATCAGAGATGGTATTCAGAGGTGGCTCTGACCAGTTCTGGAGAACGGGTAGAGGAAATTTTGAGTAGTTTGGAGAACCGGGGGTAACCTTCCCCCAGAAGTGGGGAGGGAATGGAGCAGGGGTGGGATTCAATTTTTTTTACTACCGGTTCTGTGGGGCATGGCTTGGTGGGTATGGTGTGGCTCAATGGTTGTGGCTTGGTGGGTGTGGCAGGGAAAGGATACTGCAAAATCCCATTCCCTCCCCACCCCACTAACCTGCTTTCCAGCTCCGTTTCTGTGCAGGGCAACAAAAGAAGAGCCAGCCAATCAGCTGGGACTCGGGAGGCAGAGAATAGATGGGGCAGGGCCAGTCAGAGGTGGTATTTGCCGGTTCTCCAAACTACTCAAAATTTCCACTACCGGTTCTCCAGAACTGGTCAGAACCTGTTGAATACCACCTCTGGAATGGAGATTTTACAGTATCCTTTCCCTATCATACCCACCAAGCCACACCCACCGAGCCATGCCACACCCATCAAGACACGCCCACCAAGCCACATCCACAGAACTGGTTGTAAAAAAATTTGAATCCCACCTCTGAAACAAGTACATTCATGATGCCAGCTCATTTCTGCTTTTTAAAAAATCTTTTCAAGATCTGGCCAATTGAAGGATCCTGCAATCTTGATGTAGCAGTCAGAAGGGGCTGTTACAATAAACACAACATTCAGAATGAGACTTCTCAGGATGTACTTTCAGTTCCTTAGTATTTTTAAAACTTATATCTCTCTGAGAGCGTTTTCTTTTTACAATAACCAATTAAATAAACCTTTTCTATTTCTTGTGTGTGTGTGTACTTATGTATATATTTTTCAGATCATCAACCCAAATTTCATCCAGGAAGGTGAGTTAAAGACATAAGCTTGTCAAGTCTTTATTTTTCCATGCTTAAAAAATGAAAAGGGAAATAATATTATTTTCCCAAATTAATTTTGGGATTTCAAATTTTAGTATTTCAAATTTTGTCTCAATAATGACAAGCATGATGCTAATTACTACTATTCTTACTACAGTCCCAAAGAATATATTTGAGAACCAATTAAACTGACTTTGCTTTCCCCATAATATAATTTAAACTACAGTATATGAATTGCTACAATCCGTAAACTACAGGATGGCAGAAAAGAGATCCAGAAATCAGTGTCCAAAATTTTTCAGCTCAGATTTGGTAGTTCGAATTATAATTCATTTTATTTCATTTATTTCAGCTAAGCACTTTTCAAATTATTCTGAGGGGGGGGTGGTTTGCTTTTATTTTGCATCACATTTATACAAATTTGCTATCTGCCCTTAACATTGCTATTGATTAAATTAATGTATACCTGCCCTTTCATTAAAATATAAACACCCATGCTGCTTACATTTTTTTAAAACAACAAAACAACCCAAATATCCAGAAATGACAAAGATAAAAACCAATCAAAGTATAAATAATTGGGAAAATATATCCCATAATTCTATTTCAAAACCAATGGAAGACTTGAATGGCCAGATTAGGAATAGATTGTAATGAAGAAAAACAATCTTTGTAGTCACTAAAAGTTGACATTGATTGGATGGCAGATTATAATCATATCTATTTCAAAAAATTTACAAGCACAGTTTTATGAGGAAATTCATCACAAATCTTATTTAAAATGTGCAGTATATTAATATATAAGAATTCAATGTTGTATTATGAAAAAAATGTGCTTCATACTAAAGTTGATCCTTTAGACCATGGTGGTAAATCTTCTAAGCTCTTTGAGGAGTTCTCTTTTCCCCATTTCTGAAAACATGCCTCAGAAATGGGAAGAAGGAATATTTTTCCTATTTTCTGTGGAGCAGGAGTTTTCTTGGACCAAAAAAACACAACTCCTTGCTTGACAGCTGTTTCAGTATTTCAAATGAAAATCGTTGATGTCTCGCATGAGAGTGATGTGTCTCTGTGTATGGCATTTACTCCAGTTGCTCCTGAGTTTCTCGTGCCCTTAGTGGATATCACTTGCTTACTTGGAGACACCGTAATGTTGCAGTGCAAAGTCTGTGGGCGGCCCAAACCAACCATCACCTGGAAAGGACCGGATCAAAACATACTTGACAATGACAGCAGCACCGCTGCCATTACGATTACCTCCTGGTATGTTCAATCTTTACGTTCAGGATTCTGCTGAAACAATGAATGGATTAAGGGGGTTATTGAATCAATATAGCAAATCTGTGTAATTGTAATAAAGGGAAGAAAGTTAATTTCATAAACTAAAATTTAAAAACGTTTCTGATCTTCAGTTCTTCATAACCCACATCAGTGAAGAGGGATATAGGGGCAGGGGGCAAATCCAACTCCCTGCTATAAGAACAGGCAACTGTTTTGTCAACAGAGACCATAATTTATATTGTGATGGAATATAGTAAGCAGGTAAGGTCCCCAGGAGGGAGGCGGTGCATTCCAGAGAAGAGGCAACTTAGTCTAGATATTATTTGTAAAAGAAAGAGGGTGACATCAGATCCTCCCTAATAGTTCACAGGGTATATTGTTCATGCTGAGAGTAGACTCCTCAGCCTAGCAAGATTTTGTCTGTATGTGTTAAACCTATAAGTAGCAATAGCAGTTAGACTTCTATACTGCTTCACAGGACTTTATATCCCTCTCTAAGTGGTTTACTGAGTCAGCAAATTGCCCTCAACAATTTGGGCCCTCGTTTTACCGATCTCTGAAAGATAGAAGCCTGAGTCAACCTTGAGCTGGTGAGAATTGAACTGCTGGCAGCTGGCAGTCAGCAGAAGTAGCCTGCAATGCTGCATTCTAACCACTGTGCCATCACGGCTCAGCTTGGATTTCATCAGATGTCATTTTTGGTTTTGGGCTGAAAAATAGTGAGAAAGTTGAGTTATGCCTACTTGGATAGGGCCAGGTGTTTTTAAGATTTGGGAAGGTGTTCCTTTTAGGAAAAAAAAATAGTAGAAATGATAGCTTAATTAATAGGTTTCGTGTGTTTCCCACCTCAAGATGACCTTGGAAAAACTGAAAGGATTTTGGAAGCTGCAGAAATGGGATTCAAAAAGGCTGGCTACCATTCCTATCTTACTTATTGTGTCAATTTTTTTATTAAAAAAGTGAACAGTATTTCAAGAGAAGTTACATCCGATGACAAGTAATCACAGGCAGACAACCTGGGTACCTTCTATTTGCACCTTTATATTCTGTTATAAAGAATATAAATTATAGTCTCTGTTGACAAAACAGTTGCCTGTTCCTATAGCAGGGAGTTGGTGGTCCTCAGAGTACCTTATCATTGCAATCAATTTCATAAATCAGTGAAAAGAAGTAGTGTATTTTTGAAAAATAGATCAAAATGTTTAGAATTTAAAAACTGATTTTTTTAAAAAAAAAATTATCTGAATTTATTTTCACAAGCTCATCCAACAGCAAGCATGTTGGACCGCAACAGGAGACAACGACTAAAAGGATCTCGTTACTTAAAATTTCCCCAAATAATGTGACAGCTATTAATAGATCCAACAGACTGAATATGGACATATTTGCACATTATACTGGTTGGAGAGTATATAAACCAGGTAGATTGAAATCGGATAGTTAAGACAATTCATCTCAAGAAAAAAAAAATCCTAGAAATAGAAGCTCATGTCTATTATCACCAATGTATTTCATTAAAATACAAAAAAAAAAACACCACATTTCTTTGTTAAGAGAGGTGTTAATCAATTTCTCAATCAAGCCATACAATTTGCCATAAGAAGTCATAAGAAGGAAGAGGTTTGGTCACATGCCCAACCTTTCTTCAAAACAGTGTACACCAGTGGTGACCGGATCAAATGAACCGGTAGCAAGGATTTGGCGTGGGTCACCGAACCGGTAGTAAGTTCTGGCTGGCCATGCCCCTGACCCGGTCGCTGGTTCGCTTGCCCCACGCTCCCGATGCTTGCTTGCCCCGCTCGTCTGATGCTGGACCCTTAAGGTATTTTTTTTTCCTTCCTGACAATCAGCTGTTCATATGATCGGCTGTGCTGCGATTCCCCTTACTGAGGTCCAGGGAGGCAAAAAATGGAGGGAAGGGCTCAGCCTCTCCCTCCATTTTTTGTCTTCCAGAGTCTTAGGGGAGCAAACCCCCCCCCCCCCGAGGCTCCTCTGAGGCCAGGAAGGTCCCAAAACGGAGCGTGGAGGGGTGCTGCATGCCCCTCCCATGCTGTATTTTTTTTATTCCTGAACCTCAGAGGAGCCTTCTGGGAGCAAAAACACCTCCCCAGAAGCTCTTCTGAGGCCTAGAAGGCCCCAAAAACGAGTGGAGGGGGGCAACTGCAAAAAAGCAAAAAAAAAAAAAAAGAGCCATGCCCACCCAGTCACATGGCCACACCCACCAAGCCACGCCCACCAAGTCACGCCCACAGAACCGGTAGTAAATAAATTGAATCCCATCACTGGTGTATGCCCTGTATCAAGTAGAATTCAAGGAGATTTTTTACACCATTTTTCAAAGAAAAGTCCAAATCAGAATTGAATTGATCCATGAAACCTCCTGAAAATATGGTGCAGTATATATCAGTTGCTAAAGCAATATTCTTGTAAGGGCTCCTATGGCATTTTTAGAAACCTTGTTAAGATCCAAGGCTGGATAAGAATATTCTCATGGCATAAGAAGGAAAAGGCTTCCTAAGGATTCCTTTGCACCTCTACAAGGAAATACCTTCTGTAAGACATCACAATTGCCATATGGCAGGTTTTTCTGGCCCTTTGTCAATCTCAAGAATTTATGCTGCTTCCAGGAAAGGAAGACAAGTTTAGGCCTGTGCTCTGAAAGTTGCTAACAACTGCATGTATTTAACTATCACTATTGGAACACGGAGGAGAGCCCCAACAATGGCATGGGAGATGGGTTCGTTATTCTGTTTTTGGCCCATAGGAACTTACCATCTGTTCATTTCATTGTATCATTTCCACCTTCATCTGCAAAGTTTAATAATCCTATGTTACTGTAAGTTATCCATTGTATGCATCATCGGGTATGACTGCTATGTTTGTACAGGTCTTTTGATAAACAGTAAAAGAAGATTAAAGTAAAAGTAAAAGAAGGCAGATGCAATGGCTCAGTGGCTAAGATGCTGAGCTTGTCGATCAGGCAGGTTGGCAGTTCGGCGGTTCGAATCCCTAGCACCGCATAATGGAGTGAGCTCCCGTTACTTGTCCCAGCTTCTGCCAACCTAGCAGTTTGAAAGCATGCAAAAAATGCAAGTAGAAAAATAGGGACCACTTTGGCGGGAAGGTAACAGCGTTCTGTGCACCTTTGGTGTTTAGTCATGCCAGCCACATGGCCACAGAGATGTCTTTGGACAGCGCTGGCTCTTCAGCTCTGTAATGGAGATGACCACGTATGTGTGAGGGGAACCTTTAAAAGAAGGTTAAGAGTCAAAGGAATGTCCAAGTGTAAATATAGCCGCACTGTGATCTTAGTGTTCAGTTACCTTAAATCACCCAGGAAGCGAGTTCTTCAGCATCCCTTGATCAGGATTGGGGCTGGTTGATTGAATTCTGTGCTTTCTGGAGACCTGTCCCTGTGGCTGCTGCGGAGAATTGGAGCATTTAAAACAAGGCAGGCAAGATGGGGTTGGTTAGTCACATACTGTGCCTTGAATAACAAGGGAAGATGGCATGCCCGAAAGAGGCTCTTCTGCTTCTTCCAGCTCACTTCTGTCTTTGTTGTTTTCTAGATAGGTAACTACACTTCCAAAGTTCTCGGTACAGCCACTCATTGTCTTTATCTCCTGTCTATATGGAGCAAGGAGCATTCTTGGGAATAAATATGATATTCACAGCTAGAGTTCTTTTTTTTTAGCCAAATGTTAGCTTCCTACTAAAAAATTACATTTAAAAAAATCCTTGGGAGAAGAAAGACTAGTAACAAGAACCTTACTTCACATAGGCTCCAAATTCCAGATCTGCACAGTATGAATAGACCATATAGTTATAGTGTAAAACTATTCCATTTTTTCAATCATTACAATCCCAATCACATTCATTAAACAGGGCAGTGTGAACCAATACCCATCAGTAAATTATTGCTTTTCTTTTGTGTGGCTAATGTCCATAGAATCAATGAAAAGAGCACATCTTCTCTATTTTTCCATTGGTTTTCACTTTCCAGATCAATTGATATTAATTGATTGGTTGATTGATTGACTTGATTTGATTTGTAGTCTCCCATCTCAAACCCATGACTCTAATTACCAGAAACACTGAAACAGTTAAGTTCTGGGAGAGAAGCCACTTGACAGAATTTCAATTTAACCTTTTGACTTCTGTGGCCCTCTAGTGAATCAGGTGACATTACCCTAAAGATCTGCAACGTGATGCCTCAGGACAGTGGCATTTACACCTGTGTGGCCACAAATGAACTTGGGACAGTATCCACATCCGCAACGATCAAAGTACAAGGTAATGGATTTTCCTTTCCAAGTACATGGGGCCTGTTGTATAAAAATCTTTTTTATAGTTTGTTTGATGAAATGTTATTGACTTTAATCATGGTGTTTCAGGACGAGCAGGTAATAGGGTAAACAAAGGCCAATTCTCCCCTAGTAAGAGTAGTAGCATTAATAATAGCAGTTTGGTCTCATTTACTTGGAGGGAGGTCTCTGCAAGTGTCAACGAGAATGCAAGTGGGCCGCACTTTAATTGGACATATTTGGAAAGCATCATTTGCTTGGAAACATATTTCTTATATGTGTAAGAAATTTCTGTAAGAAAATAACGGTTATATGGTTTCTCATCTTGGACTTATGGCCTGAGAAGCCTGAGAGAGAAAGTTATATTTTTAAACTTCTCTACATATTCAGATTTTATAGCCACAACAAAGGGCCACCATCCTGCCTTGACCTTAGCTAATCCCCCTTAAAGCTGAGAAATGTGAGATGATACAGACTTGGCTGGAAGGCCCGCAGGCCATATCTAAGATGAAGGCTACATCTGGAACTTGAATCCTAGAAGGAGGTAGCGGCAAGCCATGTCTGTACTACTGCCCCAAATACATGAATATAGTCAGCAGGAGTCAGACTCAGGGAGTGAACCTATACAGACTTTAGAGCAGGGGTGTCAACTCGTGTCCTCACATGATGTGTCGGGACTTTTTTCCCCTTCGCTAAACTGGGTGTGGGCGTGGCCAGCATGCAGGCCGCGAGTTTGACATCCCTGCTTTAGAGACTTCTTCAGCACATACCAGAGGTGGTATTCAGCAGGTTCTGATCAATTCTGGAGAACCAGTAGCGGAAATTTTGAGTAGTTCAGACAACCAGCAAATACCACCACTGACTGGAGATTTTACAGTATCCTTCCCCTGCCACACCCACCAAGCCACGCCCACAGAACCGTTAGTAAAAAAAAAATTTGAATCCCACCACTGGCACATACCATTTGAAACTGCATGTTAGCAACTGCAAGTTTAAATTCTTCCTTTTCATTAAAAAAAAATCCCCACTTTTCACATGCAAAATTGGGTTTTGAGGTAAGTTTACACAGATTATTGTCCCTTGAAAAATAGTACTTTCCTTTCTACGATGTTCTAGCATTAGTAAATAGAGGACATGTTTAATCATCTCCTCAGCTGCCGATTTTGGTAACTCTCTGCCTTTCCACACCCATATACATTAGCAATCAAGATTTCAAGATCTCATGATCGATCCATTTCATACATATGTTCCTTCCACAAGCGTAAACTTTAAAACAGTCTTTCTCAACCTCAGCAATTTATTTTATTTTATTTATTTATTTATTTATTTATTTTTGTCAATTGCTTACAAGATAATAGGTATAAGTAAAAACATAGTTATGAATACATGGATACATATAAGAAAAATAAAAAAAATAAGAGAAACAATAGGACAGGGACGGTAGGCACGTTAGTGCACTTATGCACGCCCCCTACAGACCTCTTAGGAAAGGGGTGAGGTCAATAGTAGACAGTCTAAGGTTAAAGTTTTTGGGGTTTGGGGAAGAAACCACAGAGTCAGGTAGAGTATTCCAGACATTGACCACTCTGTTGCTGAAGTCGTATTTTCTGCAATCAAGTCTGGTGCAGTTTACCTTGAGTTTGTATCTATTGTGTGCTCTTGTATTGTTATGGTTGAAGCTGAAGTATTCATTGACAGGTAAGTCATTGCAATGTATAATTTTATATACTATACTTAGATCGAACTGAAGGCAGCGTAGTTCTAGGTTTTCTAGGTCTAGAATTTCGAGTCTGGTGGCATAAGGTATTCTGCAACGAGTAGAGGAGTGGAGAACTCTTCTTGTGAAATATTTCTGGACTTTCTCAGCTGTGTTAATATCAGATACGTAATGCGGGTTCCAGACTGATGAGCTGTATTCAAGTATTGGTCTAGGAAATGTTTTGTATGCTCTAGTTATTAGTGTAATATTACCAGAGAAAAAGCTTTGTAAGATTAACAACTCTTAACGCCTTTTTGGCTATGTAGTTACAGTGGGCTCTAGCATTTAGGTCATTAGAGATGAGTACTCCAAGTTCCTTGACAGAGTTTGGATCATCAACAAGGTCTTGACTATTCAGCCTGTATTTTATTTTCTATATTTTTTTTTGCCAATATGTAGGATGGAGCATTTATTTGTTGAGATTTGAAGTTGCCATTTGCTTGACCATTCTGATACATAGTCAAGGTCTTTTTGAAGGGTAGCAGTATTGTCTGTGGTGTTGAATAGCTTTACATCATCAGCGAAGAGAATGCAGTTGCTCTTAATATGATCACAGAGGTCATTTATGTAGAGTATGAAAAGAGTTGGTCCTAGAACGCTGCCTTGGGGGACACAACTGTTGACAGGTACAGAATTTGATAGGATGCTCCCAATTTTGACCATTTGTTGTCTGTTTGACAGGAATACTTCTATCCAGTTATGCAGTTGTCCAGAGATACCGCAAGATTTTAGTTTTAGGAGTAGTTTGTTGTGTACCACTGAATCAAAGGCTTTACAGAAGTCTATGTAGATTGCGTCTATTGCTTTGACCAAATCGAGTTGTGTAGTCCATATGTTTTTGCAGTGTAAGAGTTGCAGATTACAGGATAGTTTTTTTTCTGAAACCAAATTGTTTATTGGAGAGTAGGTTGTTTGTTTCTAAGTGGAGGATGATGGATTGGTTAATAATTGATTCCATGACTTTACAGGTGACACAGCATAAAGAGATTGGTCTGTAATTTCAACTAGGCTGGGGTCTCACTTTTTGAAGATGGGGATGACCGTGGCTCATGACCATAGTTTTGGCAAGGAGCTGGTCCTGAAAGATTTTTCAAAGATTATGCTTAGAGGTTCTGCTATGGCAGTGGATAGCTTTTTTAAGAAGTAGGCACATATTCTGTCCGGTCCAATAGATAAAGATGGTTTTAGATTGCCTAGTGCTTTTTAAATTTAAATTTTAATTAATTAATTAATTTTAATTTTAAGATGAGTGGACTTCAACTCCCAGAATTCTCCCAGCCTGGGGATTCTGAGACTTGAAGACCACACATCATAAATTGTTGAGATTGAGACTGCTCTAATTAATCACTTTTATTTTAAATAACTGGATTGGCTTTCATGCATCCTATACTTTTTTAAAAATGTAATCAGAGTTAACAGATAACAGATAATCAGAGTTGGAAGGAACCTTGCAGGTCATCTTGTCCAACTCTCTGCCCAAGTGGGAGACCCTACACCAGTGGTTCCCAAACTTTTTCAGTCCACCGCCCCCTTGGTGCTACAAATTCATCCTCGGTGCCCCCCACCCAGCGGTGGGATTCAAATTTCTGTGGGCATTGCCTAATTTGAGGGTGTGGCTTGCTGGTCACATGACTGGGTGGGTGTGGCTTGCTGGTCACGTGACTGGCTGGCGTGGCTTGCTGGCTGGGCATGGCTTGCTGGTCACATGACCGGGTAGGTGTGATCTGGTGGTCATGTGACTGGCAAACCAAATACACGTGGTCCACACTTAATGGCCGGTTGCTTAGCAAGTGTTCTAATTTATGACTGGCCTCCCCAGAGATACTTGACCCGTTTTTGGAGTTTTGACAGCCATGCACACACATACACACACACTCCCTTCTAACCCTGCTGGAGCAGGTCATTGCACTAGAATTGGCAAAGCACCTCTGATTAGATACTACTTTGCCGATTCTTGTTGATTTGTTTTATTTGTATCTCTTTATTTTATGTTGCTGAATTGCATTGACGTGTGTCCCTTCTTGGGCACAACCCAGAAGCTTTTGTGATTTTTTTGCAGCAAAAATTACCGACCTCTGGCTTTACTCTACTTTTCAAACATTCCGACACTGCCACGTTCTAGGTGCCGGCCCCGCAGGTCCACCCCATTGAGCCCACTGCATTGGAGGGACCTGCCAAGCAAGTCAAGTCAATGGGCTGAGCCTGAGAGAGGGAAAGAGAGAGAGAGAAAAAGAGAGAGAGAGAGACAGAGAGAGAAGGAAGAAAAGAAAGAGAAAAGGGAAAGAAAGAAAAGGGGACAAAGAAAGAGGGGGGATGGAAGGGACAGAAAGAAAAAGAAATAAAGAAGGAGGGAGGGAGGAGAAAGATAATGAGATATCTATTCTAGTCCAAATCACCTGCTCCAGCAGGGTTAGAAGGATGTGTGTGTGTGTGTGTGTGTGTGTTCTCCTTGTAATTTACCAGTACATTTTGGTTTTGCCTTCTTCAGAATTGTCACTGTAATACATTGGAGAAAAGTAATTTTTAGGGTGGAGATCTGGTTCAATGGATCCTGTTTAAGGCTCAACAAAATGTGAGAGCTTCCTGATAGTCCTGACCATGTTTTGTCCACTAAACCTTTAATAGAAGCCAAAGATGTTTCAATGTGCTGGCAAAGATGTTTCAATGTGGAAAAGGACTTCAGTCTAAACTAGGCCTCATTTCAATCTGATGCATCAGGTCTCTCTCTCTCTCTCCCCCCCCCTCCACCCGCTCCCTCCCTCCCTCCCAGATTGGCTTTGTTCTACTTTCCCAATGTGTCTGCGGGGCTGGCGCTTCGAACATGGATGGATGGATAGAGAGAGAGACAGACAGACAGACAGAGACAGGTAGGTAGGTAGGTAGATAGATAGGTAGATAGGCAGGCAGACCTTTTGGATGAATGTATGGATAGGTCGGTATGTAGGTAAGTAGATTAGTAGATAAGTAGGTAGGTAGGTAGATTTATATTGGTGGGTAGGTAGGTAGGTAGGCAGACAGAAAGGCAGGCAGACAGACAGGCAGACCTTATGTATGTATGTATGTATGTATGTATGTATGTATGTATGTATGTACGGACAGACAGACAGACATAAAGAAAGAAAGAATGCGACAGCAGTGGCACTTTGAGAAAATTAGTAGAGCAAAGCCAGAGTGAGAATTGAAATCCACACAAGTTGCCAAGGTTGAGAAACACGGGCTGAATATATCAACCCAGCCATTCTGGTTTAGAGTTTAGCATTCTGTTTGATTCTGGCTTAGTCAATGAATAAACCATGGCTAAGATCTTCCTGCTCCTTAATGCAGCTGCCCCCTCTGCCTCTTCTCCAGCCCCCTGCAGCTGCCCCTCTGCCCCTTCTGCAGCCCCCTGCAGCTGCCCCCCCTGCAGCTGCCCCTCTGCCCCTTCTCCAGCCCCCTTTGGCATCCAATTTTGCAATGCCAACCTCCCCGGGGCAGCGATGCAGCCGACCTCACTCTCTTTGCTTCAACCCAAGGTCCACTTCCATCGGGCCAAGCAAGGGGAGGTACTCTGCGCAAGCTCAGAGACTCCCAACTTCAGTGAAACGTTCTGCCCATCTTTATGCTCCGCCCGGGAGGAGAAAGGCATGCGGAAGCAACCCAGACCAGGGGAGGCAGAGGGAATGATCGCTTGGAAACTAAGCAAGCAAGCAAGCAAGCGCAGGGCTCGGTCGGAAGAACTGGCCTGCAGAGGGAGGCTAGGTTCTAGGTCCGGGATGGCCACATAGAGCCGACCTGAACCGAGCCACGTGCCTTGGAGAGCTGCAGCTGCAACCACCCGCATCCTGCGCGCAAGCCCGGCTAGCTGGAGAGGCAGAGGCCGGGCGGGCGCTGCACACTCCCTTGTTCTCCTCCAGGGAAGGGGCCCTAACGCCAGACCACCCATCCCTTCCACTGCACGCCTTGGGAGGGTTTTGCTTTCTGGCCTTCTGGCATGCCTCCTCCGCTTCCACTGGAGAGGGCAGCCTGCAAGCTAAGGCGCCCTCTTTCCACCCCCTCCCACCCCCCCCCCCCCCAGGCTTGGCAAGGCTCACTGTGCACAGGTTCTGCATTTGAGGTGCCAGCTACAGAGCAATGAAACAGTCAATGGGCTGCATGGCCGGCAGTCAATGAGCCTGCGGGGCCGGCCCCTCGAATGCCCCCCTGCCACCTCTTAGCGCCCCCCTACCGCCTCCCTTGCCTCTTACCGCCCCCCTGAGGCATCCCACCGCCCCCCAGGGGGCGGTACCGCCCACTTTGGGAACCACTGCCCTACACCATTTCTGATAGATGGGAGTCCAACCTCTTCTTGAAAGTCTCAAGTGATGGCACTCCCACAACTTCCGAGGGCAAGCTGTTCCATTGATTGATTGTTCTCACTGTCAGAAAGTTTCTCCTTATTTCCCGGTTAAATCTCTCCTTGTTCAGTTTCCATCCATTATTCCTTGTCTGGCCTACAGGCGCTTTAGAAAATAGCTTGACCCCTGCCCTTCCTGTGGCAGCCCTTAAATATTGGAAGACTGCTATCATGTCTCCCCTGGTCATTCTCTTCACTAGAGTAGCCATGCCCAGTTCCTGTAACCGTTCTTCATATGTTTTAGTCTCCAGTCCCCTAATCATCCTGGTTGCTCTTCTCTGTACTTTTTCTAGAGTCTCAACATCTTTTTTAATCGTGTGGTGACCAAAACTGGATGCAGTACTCTAGGTGTGGTCTTACTAAGGCTTTATCGAGTGGTATTAGTACCTCACTTGATCTTGATTGTTAAGTGCCAAATGACTGATAATAACTTGACACAATAACTTAATATATAGCAGGAAAACATGCCTGCCTCCTTCCGTTTTCTGTGCTTTTTTTCTGAATTTCAAATACCCTTTAAAAGTTACACCTTTCCAATGTTTAGGTAATAGAGATTACTGATTACAATCAGCAATTACATTAAACTGCACTAAAAATAATGCATTTTAAAATTAGATTATGTTGAATCAGAAATGTAATCTGTCCTGTAGGCTACATTTCTTTTAAAAAAAAACTGGATTAAAGAAACACTTCTAACAGAGAAATACTCTTTCCCATGACTTAATTTTCCCTATTGTTTGCTCCTCAGATGTTCTTTTTGCTCTTTAACTGGGACTCCAAAATTCTCCTCTAGTTCTCTGCTAATGGTTTCTTTCTTCTCTCTTTCCCCATCCCAGGGGTTCCAGCTGCCCCAAATCGGCCTATTGCTCAGGAAAGAAGCTGCACTTCGGTGATTCTCCGCTGGCTGCCTCCATCCAGCACAGGCAACTGTACCATTTCAGGCTACACAGTCGAGTACAGAGAAGAAGGTGCAAGCATTGTGAGGCTTTGGTGTGGGAAAAAACCCGAATTGTGTACCTGTCGTATATTTATTTCACCACTGAATTTTGTAGTTAACACAGTCACACGTTTCCCCTGCACTATGGTTATAGGCAAATTTTCCTGGCCCTAAATATTGAATATTTTTATTAGCACCATCTAGCATTGCTGGTAAGGCCGGAGAAAGACAAGCTGCCATAATTGCTATTCGGTTAAAAGTAGAGTCATCATGTGACCAGACCCAATTTTGCAACCATTTTTACAATGACTGTAAAACAAGTCTCTGTGAATCACATGGTTGTTCAAATAATACAAGTTCCACAATTGGCATTTTTTTTGCTAGCCAAACCTTTCTAAAATTAGGGTCATGTGACTGCAGTATATTGTAATCAGTCATAAATATGAGCGGGTTACCGAGTGCCCAAATTGCAACCATGTGATTCACTTCACGGGGTGGTACAACAATTTGTAATGTTTATAAATGCAAATACAGGTCGCGAGTCCCTTTTCCAAGGTCATTTTAACTTTGGACAGTTGTTGAACAAATGATGATATAGTTGAATACTATGTGTACTGCTAGCTTTTACTCTACCGTTCTTCCTTTCTGCTATGGCTGCAAGAAGGACAAATGGTATCTAAAGCAGGCAAAGGTGATCTGAGCTTACTCTAGGTTTTAAATAGTGGTAGGGTTCAATTTTTTTTACTACCAGTTCTGTGGGTGTGGCTTGGTGGGCGTGGCAGGGGAAGGATACTGTAAAATCTCCAGTCAGAGGTGGAATTTGCCGGTTCTCCAAACTACTCAAAATTTCCGCTACCGATTCTCCAGAACTGGTCAGAACCAGCTGAATGCCACCTCTGGTTTTAAACCTCTGTATCTGTCTTAAGAGGGAAAGAAAGCAACCAGGTAGAATAGGTGGCAGCCCTAACAGCTCATCCTCCCCTTTCCTATTTTTTTTCCCTCTCTACTCCCTAATGAAAGGATAGAATAATAATTAAAAAAGAACAATTGCAGGACTGCAAACTCTTGAAGTCAGCAATGGATTCTAGTGCTGGCTATGAAGGGCTCAGAACTCCAAGGAAGATTCACTAATGTTAAAGTTCTCTGTTTCTGCTGAGAAGCTAAGCACCTGGATTAAATCTAGCATCTTCATTTCCAGCTGTTCCTCTTGCAGGTGTGTGAAAACATCTGATGAGCTTTGCCAGCAGTCCACTATGCCATTAGTGTCTCATCTGACAATGTCTAGGGCTGACTGCTTGATTTCAGTCCATTGACTATAGAAAGAAATGGCAGGGGTGAGGTGGAGTGGGGAAGTCTTCTACACAAAACATCTTGCACCTTTACATCTTCCAGTTTAGTAACTGGAGAATTGCTATCTTACTGTGGCCTCTTTATTTAAAGAACAGTTGACCTGCATTCTTGTGTTTCTTTCATCTACTTTCCATTTTGTTGTATTTCCAATTTATGGCACGTGAGTGCACCATACATCAAAAGTCCCGAAAAGTCCTTTGTAACTAGAAAATATCAGATGAGTCTCAATAAATGGCAAGCATTGTTCAAGCTGCATTGCCTAATATAATTCCTGTCACTCTTCAGCTTTCTAAACTAAAAAAATTGTCAGAAGTATCTCAGCAAAACTGGAGATGAAATTACAATAGTCCCTTAGTATCACCAAGCACATGGATCTCAATTAACTCCATGTCTCCCTTCACCACAGAATTACCACAGTCTATCTTCTCAGTCCTTGCCTTCCCTGCTCTTCCATCCATATCACTCCAAGTCCAACATATTCATATTTCTGTTAGAAGAAAGTTCTGTTCTATTCTATTCTATTCTATTCTATTCTATTCTATTCTATTCTATT